TATTACTTCTTAGATACACTGAGAAAAAAATACTTGAAAAGTGATTTGTGGAATACACGAAGTTTATTTATGCGAATAAACTTTATATTCCGTAAACAAATTTTCAATTTGTATTTTCTCTGTGTATTTATCTCTCTGTGTATATATTATAGATAAAAATGTTCTCTCTCTCTCTCTCTCTCTCTCTCTCTCTCTCTCTCTCTCTCTCTCTCTCTCTCTCAGTGAGCGTGTATCTCGTGGTTCATCCGCGACGCGATACCGCCGCGGCCCTCCGTCGGGAACGATAGAAACAACGTGAAACGGGGAAGGGGGAGGACGAGAGGAGAGGACAAGGCGAGGGCGAAGGGCGAGTAATTCGCCACCTTCCGTTTCATTACAGCTGCTTTGCCGGAGATACAGCCACGAAGCACGCAATCGCACGATCAATCCTACCCGCTGGTATTCCGCCCGTCAGAGCCACCGTTGCTGAGCAAAATCGCGCGCACCCCATCACGTAGATCACGCATCGTTAATGCTCGGTTACCGCGATGTTAAGTAATCAGCGATGGACCGACGACTCGGGGAATGTAGCGAAAAAGTGTCTCTCTCGCTCCAGCTCGCGAGCGTGCGTGCGTCGATCTATCGCGTTCAAGTGGAACCGAGAATCCATTGATGGACTGTAAAATGTTGACACACGGTATATCCCGCGTATTCGCTAATTTCGACGGAAGTGCTGTTTTATGCACGCGTTCGCGCGATTAATTCGGCTAAACTGTCGCGTACAGTAGCGAATTGTCCAACGTTTCCGTCGGCGCGCGCCATAATGTTCTCACCGACACAATATACCCACGAAAATGTTCCAGGCGAATTTCTCAGCGCAACACTGTGTCCCATTATATCTCGCGCGGACGACTGTTTAAGTCACGATTGTCCGGTCCGAGACGAGATATCGCGAAAGAGAAAGTTTCGTAATGATTTACGTCATTAATGCAACGGCTGCCCTGAATTCAGCACGATGAGGCTTTTGCTAAATGCACATTCCGCATTCTTTGCGTAACAGAAATATTTGCCGACTTCACTCCCACTTTTACGCGATAATTCATTACGTCGGGACGTTCGTTTGCTCGACCGAAAAATCTGATACGAACGAGTGCATGTCGGGCATATATGCGTCGAGCATATTTGTCGGAGATATTATTTGATCTGTTCAAATAATATAATAACGAGCATATCGATCCTTCCCGTACAGATACTAATAGCACCGCTAGTCACTTCACAATTAATTATACGAGGGCATTAAGTTACCAATTAATCAGGAACCGATTTGATCAGAGCTCCATATAATTGATGCGCGCAGGACGCACGCCGATAAAGCTCGTGGATTCCTACAAATGTCTCGTCTCTGACGAGTGAGCGTGCGTTATTATCGGCGATATTTAAGGAAAATTTCCGCGGAACATCGCGCCAACGACCCCGTCGCGTCCGTGAGAGATTCGATTTTCCGGCACTTCCGTGTAGAAGAGAATAGAACTAGTTGTCTCATATGTCAGAATTTCGAAATTACAGCTCCTCGGACAATTAATTACTGCGACTGACTGTACAAACATAATAGAGACGGCCTTTTTCTATGTGTTAAGACCTGCCACAATCCTGTTAGGGTAGAGTGACCAAATTCGAATTAGGTACCAAATATGGATCACAAATTTTTGACAGCTTACTAATAAAAAGTTTAACGGCTCGCTGATGAGCCTTAAATTTTATTTAAAAAATAAAATTAAAAATCGCCAATATAATAAATAAATATTTAATCGTATATAATAAAATAAATGTTTTTAAAATATCGCTCACATTAGCGACCCGTAAAATTTATGAGCAACATTTAGTACACGGAAAAAAGATATAGACAACTAAACATAATTTGCTGTGTTAGGCACTTTTTCTTTGCTGCAGGAACCCATTTCCTTGCTAAGATAACAAGAAAATCTGCTCCTGCAACAAAAAAGTAGCTGAAGCAGTAAATTATGTTTAGTTGTCCATCTGTAGCAAATTTACTGCGTTAGCCACTTGTTTTGCTGCACAAGCAGATTTTCTTGTTATCATAGCAAGGAAATAGATTCCTGCAGCAAAGAAAAAGTAGCTAACACAGCGAATTATGTTTAACTGTCCATATATAGCAAATCAGTTTGCTGCAAATCCTTTTTTTCCGTGTACCCAATCCAGATTTGTATCTAGTCCTATTTTGTTTTGTAATGAATACAACATGACTGTTGCCCAGCAGCGCGGAGTAAGAAGGCCACATATCAAATATGTATTCTGATTAGTAGTTTCGGGATCTTCACAACCGTCTTGCCGGCCCTTACTTAATCATTGGTCAACCTTATCGGGACATTTTGACAGAATCAAACCGGCATTTCGTATATTATTTGGAAAAACTCGGGACAAAAGATAGAAACTAGGACTGCGCCGGAAAAACAGAGAAAACAGGAAAAACCGGAAGTCACCTTACATAAATTAACGAGCGCTCGGCGCCAAACTTCGCTCTCATCCGCGTCTTGATTCATCTTCCAACGGCAAGAAAACCAAAGCGCGCGCGCGAGGAGAATTGCAATCTCGGGATTTATAAGACGAGGAAAGTGCGCCGTCGATAGTTCGTTCATTCGTTCATTCGTTCATTCGCTCGCTCGCGACCGGCCGTTCGATGCAGCCAATCTTCCTGTTACATAATTCCTGCGGCCAATTACGTAGGAGGAGATCGGTTAGCCCTGCGAACGTAAAATCCACTTTCCGTCCGTATTACGTACTCCCCCGTGTAGACTATTCTTCGATCAGCATACGCCACGATAATACGACGATCGCAAAAGGTTTTACGATATCGCGCGATGTAATCGGCATCTCGTGCAAAGAGCAATCGCCGGAGGGAGAATATTTCCGCGTTCGAGAACATGCGTTAACACATCGACTCGATTAGCCGATTAATATTTCGTTTTTCTCCTCTTTTTAATATTGGAGATTTAATATTTAATAATGTGCAAGTCTTTCTCTCTCGACGCGATCGTCATCCGGCCGTGCCTCGAAATTGATGTTGCCCTCGCTACGCGGATACGTCAATGTAGACGTCATCTCTTCCTACTCTTTTTAACGCACGGGTAATTTTCCACGGTGAAGAGAGGAGAGAGAGAGAGAGGGAGAGATCCCATTCTCTCCCGGAAAAGAATTTCACGAGGAATTTACACCCGTGCGAAGAATGCGCTTGCGGCGTATATCACGTGCGCTTTGCAGCCCTTGAGCCCTAAAAACTCGACGGCAATCAATCAGCCACGCCCAACGATTATTAGTGCAGTTTAGCGGCTAATAAAAACAGCCGCTTTAATCACAGCCGTGGAGTTGACCGATCGCGGAATCACTTCTCGTTCAGTGGCTTGAATTGATATTAATCGATATTAATCGAACGTTATCCTATCTATCTATCTATCTATCTAGCTATCTATCTTTCGTTACACGACTTTACACCACCACATTGTCCGCGCCGAATCGCAACGATTGTTTCCGCGGGACAAGCAAACCGATTACGCGATAATTCGCATAACAACGCGACACGTTTTGCGCTATATGAAAAATTTAATTTCAATTACATCTATCGTTCTCGTGGCGCACAAAATTTATTTTACCACCAGCCGTTCCGCCAGCAGCCGCGCGTCCTTAATTGGTAAACTGTTAACGACGATGCGGTATTTTCGGCTTAATTCAAATAACTTGTCCGCCCTACATTTTATGTATATATATATGCATGTGCACATATACATTTCGTTACCGTGTCACATCGGATAATTGCTAACACCGCTAAATATCCCATTAATTATCTTCGCCAGTCGCGCGACAAATGGAGTAGCTTCATCAAGTTAGCTGGGAAGCGCTCTCGAGGGAACGAATTGCGCGCGCAATCGCGAAACGAAGGGCCCTTTCACGCGGGACCCCTCCAAGTCTCGAAATTTCTTGGATCGAATCTTTACTCAAAATGAGTGAAAATTCACTTGAGAGACGACAGTGAAAATAATGTGATCTATAACTATAATCGCTTAACGAAAAAGTCGTGCTGGCAAAAGAGCCATTTTTTAAATAAATGTTGCTATAATGTTAGTGATAAAGTAACTTCACATGCACATACTTTTTTTAAGACAAGATATGCTGAAAATTACTATTTACTAATTACTGGTGTCAAAAATTACTGTAATTTCAGTGACGTTAATCATTTTTTTTTTCTCTGCGTTCTGCCACTCGGAATCGCAAGTGAACGTTTAACTCAAACTTGGGATGGATCCGTATGAGAAAGTGTTTTAGTGAGACCACGGAATATAGTAAATTGCAAAACAAAGATTTGACTGTCACCAACTTTCGCAGAGGATGCGAGAAAAGTTGAAAGCACAAATTTGATATTTATTGCGCTATTATTACAACTGAGGCTTTTTTACAACTCTGAAAAAAAATATGTTCGGAAATATTGCTTTTCAATAAAGTGACGATAGCTCAAAATTATTTAGGGCTTAGAGACTCGGATTGTTGTAGTGTATGTCTTAAAAAATATGATTGTACACAGGGAATCAATAATATGATTAAGGATTATAAATAATAATAAATAATAACAACCATTAATAATATAATTACTAAGCAAATTCATCAGGCAATGTCTTTCCATTTTGATAATTTGGTGAACTCTCAACTTGATTGTGTTTAAGCTGTTTTACGATCCGTTATATATAGGATTCAGTTTTCAGTTTCGCACAAAAAGATTCACTCAACGATTCAGAGTGGAGAATTCGCTCCATGCGAGTGAAAAGCTGCTCGCGTTCAAATGACTAAACTGTCGCTCTGCTTCTCGAGTAAAATTTTATTCAAAGAAATTTTGAGAGTGCACCGGATAACATCTCTCTCTCTTTCTTTCTTTCTTTCTTTCTTTCTTTCTTAATTATGCAAGCACGCTAAAAGGAAATGGAGAAAAAAGAGAAACGTTTTGTCTGTTGCAGTTTGCGTGCAGTGGCCAGAGGGTAGGTGCTTCCACGACGTGCCGGAGTCGGCACTGCTGAATCTCTACTTCGAGATCCGTGAGAACTGTCACGGCTTCTCCTGAAGGCAACGTCCAAACAGGCAACGACAATGACGATGACGGCCTCGCGCTCGTCGACCGAGCGAGCGCGCGGATCATCCTCTTCTTCTTCCACTTCTACTTCTACTTCTTGCCGCGCGCAGTATCGCGAGAGACGATCTCGAGATATAACGTATTTATTTAAAGTCTTTCCAACCGCCGCTACACACCACGACCAAGCCAAAAAAGACAAAAGAAACAAAAAGAAAACAAGTCGTATTAAGCAACACTGAAGTTAACCACACCGAGTAGAGAAATCAGAAAAGAGGGAGACGAGGCTCCCCATTTTTGTTTCGTTCATTCGCTCGATGCATCCCGATCTCGCGGAGGTGTCTCGATCTGTCGCGCGATCTTACTCGTGACGCGCGCTTTTCGAACGAACGGGACCGACGGAGTCCGGTTGCGGCAGTCCGAGAGCAGTGCGGGGAATCGCGAGAGGTCGGTCGCGCCGCGAATCCGTTCCGCGCGGCCCGCAAGTTCTCGAGCGCGACGAAATTGTCCGCGATCGCAGGCGATCCGCCGCGTTCGATGAATTAATCATTACACGGGGTCAAATCCGAGCTACGCCTCGCGTCGAGCAAATCGACAGTGACGATGGACATTCGGTATACTCGATCATACACACACGTCTGATTAATAATTCACCGCATTGATCGATTTCCGTCGCGCGACGACGCCCCCCTACGGGAAATCGCGGCAAGACAAGACTGGCACTCACACTGCACGGTCTCCCGTCGTCTCCGTTCGTTCGAGTCGCGGTCCGCTCGCGTGTAGCGACTTTCGATCAACGCGGAGCATGTGTGTGACACAGGTCTTGAAACACTGACCTCTGAGAACCACACAAAAGAACAAAGAACGGCCAGCACGGCAGAATTGTCGCGCCATGCGCGCGCATTTGCGGGATCTCTCGTGTCCCTTCGTTTTAGGGTTCTCGATGATCCCGGCAGAAGCAAGGTGGGTGTTCAGAATTTATTTACCTACAACTAATTGCTCGTCGTTCAGCCAGCTCGGGATTAAAGACTGTCTCTCCTGTTGCATATATACATATACATATATACATATATACACGCGTGTATATATATGTACACGCATATATACACACACATTGATATATGTATATATATACATATATATAATTTTTTTTTATTGTACTTGTTTTCTCTGTCAACGAAGAGAGAAACAACGTGCTCATATCTCAGCCCCCTGCTCCTTACGTTTCTCACACTACCGACTCTTCTTTCCTTTCGAGCCGAAGCAGAGTCGTCATTCTGCCCTTTTCCCGCACCCTCGCCCACTCTCTTATCATCGTCGACCCGTTTCTCAACTTCGCGGTGAGGAAGCTACGAGGAGTAATCACGACGGCTTACGCGGTGGCCGCGCGCGCTCTCTCTCTCTCTCTCCCCGTCTCTCGCGAGCGAGAGCGAGGAGAGGAGCGAGAGTCGCGAAGTAAAGCGCGCTCGAGATAAACGAGAGATAATTTACGGTAATGGTAGGAAGGAGGCGCGTTACCCCGTGGCGCAGCGTAAGACGTGCGCCCAGCTGGTTCCTCTTTCTTACAGGCTTTCCCCACGATTTCGCGACACACACACACACACCGCTCAGGTCCGACAGGTCGTGTGCGCATGCATCCCGCAAGGGAACAATCGAACGACAGAGACGAGAGTCGTCCGGCGCGAATTTCGTAGGTTTAGAGTTTAGTCATAACGACACGGCGACAGGGTATATTAGTATTAGCGATAGTGATAATCATAAGTTTCCTCTCGCACGCGTACCCACACTTTCGAGATTCCGGTCGAGCCCGGGAAGGCAACCGCGCCGAGCTCTCGACACCGCGTTTGTCTCTCAGCGCGGTTTTGTCTTCGCGAACTTGAATAACAATCGGATCAATTTTACGCTCGGTTTAACCCTTACAGTCCGGGATGACTTTGAAGATCTTTAAACTAGAACCTTTTTCTATATTTCAGTTTTTTGTGTATTTTTTGTACGTCTGACTTTTTTATATATTTTTTCCAATTCTAGTAGTCCAGGAAAAGACTGTTGATAAGATCTATCTTGCTAAGGGACACAGTAAATTTTATTAGAAGCACGGCGGATTTTTCGCTGAAAACATAGCAGGTAATAGCGCAGTTCCTAAAAGATTAGTAACACACACGAAGCGAAAAAATAGTGAGTTACCGCAGAAAAATGTCGATCTATTTCCCGGTTACAAAATCCTATAGCATTATTTACTATAAAATATCCTCCGCGACTTCCCGTATCGTAAAGGTTAAGAAAGAGAACAAAAAGAAGAGAGAGCAACACGGGCCGATATCGGGACTCGGAACGGAGGGGTTCATCGTACCGAGAGCGAGAACACACAGGGTATCGAGATTTGAGTGATTATTGTACGCGAGCGTTACCTTACACAGGCGTTTCGTCTGATTAGCGTTAGGACGATAGATTGTACGAGTGCAGGTATTAACGTAGATTTTAAGTCCGCGTGGCTCCGCGCCAGAGAGACACGGCGATCGGATCGCCTTCCTCCCTTTCCACTATTTTTGTACTTGACTCTCTTTACATGTAATCGACTCTCGCCAGACGAGCGAGAGAGGGAAGGTGCGAGCGCGGGCGCCGTGTTTCCCGGCGTCTCCGGGGTCGCCGACGACGACGCGGGCAACCGTCGCAGCGGAGCCACGTGGTAACAGTATTACGCAACCATGTGTGCGCATGGCAACCGTCGTACGCTATTGCAACGACGTGCAGGGTCGAACCGAACATTCCAAAGATCGCGAGACATCGATTTGTCCGCTGGGCGAGTAAACTGGGGTAATTCGTTTAGAAAATAGCCGTAGATAATCGCCGACGTGATTGATTTTACTTCTGCCGATCAATCGCGCGCGCGCGCGTGTGTGTGTGTGTGTGTGGCGCGCGCGCGTGCCATGATACTACGCTTTACAAACGTAAGAAAATAGGCTTGCTCTCGGCCAAATTCGCTGAGTAAGTGAAAAAGAAAGAGAGGAAGAGAAAGACACATATTTCGCTGGAAATCGCGACAGCTGGAGTTCCTCAAGTCGGAGCTAGGATATCACTCGCCATTTGTAGGGAAGTAGTGAGTGAGTGAGAGAGAAGCTGCAGCGTGCTTGGGTCTCAGAACTTCTCTCACTATCAGAGTTCCTCTCTCACTCCCGCTCACATCACCCCTAAAAATGGCGGACAAGACCTTCATCAATTATGGCTTGTAGATATTATCCCTTTAGTCATTCATGTACTGTCGGACAGGATGCAGACCAATCAGAGAATCGTCGTGCTGTGTCCAAACTTTGACTGGAGGAACTGTAGCAGTGACAAAAAAGTAGTAACTTAGAGCGTAGTGGTGTTTGAAATCGTCACGCAAGTGTTTTTGGTGTGCATGGACGATTGAGTGCTTGTGTTATATATACACACACACACACACATAAACGCGCGTGCAGACTGTCTAAGCGAAACGCGCGGAAGAAATCGGCATTCAGAAAAGCGAAACGAGGAAACGAGACGGACAGTCAAAAAGCGGATGATGGACGATTTGCGCGACGAACGTCGAATGAAGGCGAAAGAAAAATGTGACGAGCGCGCAGAAAAGAGGAAAATCATTATTTCCCTCCGCGGGACTGCACGACGTTGTATAAAGGATAAAAATTTCATGTACGTGAGCGGGCGTGCATTTTGTACACACCGATGGAAGTCGAATGATATTCAGTTTGCGCGCCATAGCCCGGTGACATTTTGGCGCGGCCACGCATAAATATCGTCCGAAATGTCGAGTGTCAAGCTGCGAAACGAAACGTCGCGGAAATCATCGTCCGTGCTTTTCTCGCGTCAAATCCACGAATGTGCGAATCGGAAAAAAATTTCACCCACCAAAATATAATCTCACTCGCTTAACGGAATCCTCTTACATACGGCCTCAAGAGGATTTTTCTAAGCCCCAAAAGGAATATATTCTACGCACAATATTATTTCTCTTCATTAAGGGGATGCTACATACCATTATAATGCAGTTTCGCAATTTGCGCTATTTTTCTATCTGGTTACATAGAATTGCAAACGTCTTTACGGAGTGAAAGTACAAATGACCGTAGTTATGCGAGAATGTTCCAACTCATGTGGAATAAAAAAATGAAGGTGGAAACTTGATACATGGTACAAACAGTATAGGTAACACTGAGGTAACACTTCGCGATCGTTCAAGAAGTCAAGCATGATCAATTTTCTTCTCTTTAGAGTCTCTATTGATAAGTTTAACTCTTTAAAAATTAAATAAAAAAGACGCAACTCTAATATAAAATATTAACTATTTTTTAAGTGATTTTAGGCGTCCATAAAGTTTGGATTTTCTTTATTTTACGTGGAAAGACATATGGACTTAGCCATACTTGTCTTGGTAAAAAACAAAAACTCAAAAATCATAATTTTGTGAGTTGGATCATTCTTGCATAACTATGGCCAAGTGTTGATGTGTTCACGGAAAGACGCGCCAAACATTGCGTCAAAAACAAAAAATTTGTTGCAAGTGAGAAAATTTTTTTTATTTCAACGCAATATCTGAAGTCTTTCCACGCATTGGCACTTGCACCATAAAAAGCATTCGCAACTTTATGCAACCAGATAGGAAAACAGTACAAATTACGAAACTGCATCATGTCGGTATTCAGCGTGCCCTTAAAATAGGAATGCCCTTTCTCCAAAAGTTTTCACTTGAAATATGCGAGATTGCAGCAAGTAACAACTAGAGTCCTCTTTCTGTAACTGTTAGAATATTTTTGTAACTGTTAGATTATTTCAGAAGAATCCTCTCGAGCCCATGCACAAGAGGACTTGGCCAAGAATGAGATTATATTTCCGGAAGGTATTCAATTTTGGTGTGATTGTTTCGCACGCGCGTGT